TGAAACTTAAACACTAACATCCCTTTGTAAGACAAGCCTTCTTGAACACTTAACTCTTTAAATCACATGAAGAATATGATCATGACATAAGGTACTTGTCTTGTGCATTCATAGTGTCTTCTCATATCTGGCTTCTTGGAGAAAATTATTTTAAGTAGGCTTTTGAGGAATAAGTTCTTGAGATAGATTGTTTTACAGTTTTTACTAATAAGACCAAATATATTAAAGGTATTTTAAGTAGCTCAGTTAAGTAATGGAAACTGGAAAGCCATAAAACTGCATCTTGAGAACATGTAACGAATTTTTACCAGTACTGAATAAAATTGTCAATATATTACAAAATTTAGATCTTCCATTCAATTTAAGTATTCCCTCAATATAAACAAGGTTAAGTATTTTAAAGTACTTAATCTTGAGGTAATTAAAGAGTCTGAGAAATTAGCTTTGTCCTTTTCTGTGTTTTTTGGATGTATCAATAATTGATTTACTGTGTAAATTGGCAAGATTAATTTGTTGTTACACTTTCTAGCTACTGATGATAATACCAGTTTTCCTGTCCTTTTATTCAGTATGGAAGGTCAACAAGATAGTTACACAAACCATACTTGAGAATTAAAGTTCTGCTCCTGCAGTACAAGATCATTGTCTAGTAGAATGTTGTAGTTTGAGGAGCTATTTCTGTCAATGACATACTGATTACAGCACCCCATTTTAAGAATAATAAGTCTTTGAATGACAAAATGGAAAAGTTACCTGATGACCCACAAAATACAGTTAATTAATTTGATAAAGTTTTGCATAATTTAATTTCCTAATGAGTGTCTCTTAATGAAGACAGTATTTTACATTTAAATGGAATGTATACTTTGTAATAATAATAGTTTTTATAGTCATGATGCCCAGTGGTGACATGATATTAAAAAAAACGTGTAGCTTCTGGGGCATTTTTGTATCAGTTACTGTATTTTCATAGAAGTGGTAAATAGTGGGGAATATTAGCGTCTTGTACTGTCATGTTGGTGTTGACTGTCATACCAAAGTTACAATTAGCTTTTAACATTTCGTATATACACTGAAGTGTCATCTTGCAATATCATTGCTTGTCAATAGCAATGAACCACAGTAATTAAGAGCAGTGCAGATTTATTTCCATATTCTTGTAGTCAAATAATATAGCAATCTACAATGGTTCCATTGTTTGGAATGCATGATAAAAAGTTATGGCGGTTTTTTATGGAGCACTGCCATGCTTTTAGATTTTTGGTGCCATTTAAGAAAGCGTATATAAGGAGGAGATGTGAAAGCCCAAGTTGCACACAGGGCATCCTGCATTCACAAGAATTCCGTTTCCTCATGGTTTAGTCCGCTGTTGCTGATGACTGCATGTTTTTCCAAGTGCGGTTAAAGGAAATGAAGAAGATCGTTTGCATAGGAATAAAATATATGGTCAACTATAGCACTGGCCAAATTTAAATAAAAATGTAATGTGCTTTTTTTTTCCAGAATGTATTTGAATTAGGATATATATTTGAATTAGGATAAGTGTACATGCTTTTTTAAACCATCAGATAATGTTGGCTTTATGAGTGACTGTGTGTGAACAGAATGCTAGATGAAGGTCTTTTAATACTGCCCTTTTCTACATCATTTAGCTCTACCTTTCAAATAAAAGGAAAATTCTGAAAACAAAATAATGAAGGAAATAAAACGACACAGTTCTGAAAACAGAATGTATTACTAAATACATTGTGTAGCAGTATAAACAAAAAACCTTAGAAGTCACAAGTATCCCCTAGGTAGTGGCTCGTTCCTGCTCTTACTTTTTATGAGTCTAGACTAGGTAGAGATCAAGACTCTGAGCTGTATGAATTCCAGCGTGATGTTTTTCAGTGTTCATGGCTGCAGAGGACTGCAGTCATGGCAAATTCTGAATGCTATTTTCTGGTGACGTTTTTCATTACAGATTTTTATTTCCGTGGTCGGTGGGTCAGGTATTCCTACATTCATTTATACGGCAAGGACCCTGTGAGCCGTCTAGTGGGAGGTTTCTTCTTAACACTTGACCATTTGGGAAATCTGTTCCTTGCACCTTTTCCCGTTCAGCCATCCAGCACCAACCCCTCAGTCTGTCATGGGACTTCCCTCATCCTTCCCACTTACCTGTTGTGATCAGATTTCTGTGACAATGGGAGATGGGGAGCTGCATTTTATTGAGGTTGAATGACGAAAGCAGAACAGACCTTGCTAGACCTCTTGTTGCTTGATATGTAACAAAACCCGTAAAAGGTAATTTTAATAAACCAGGAAACAATGGAATAACACAAGGCAGTTAGTTTACGAACCTGTTCATGACAGTTACCTAACTGGAATAAAGAGTGCTTATTTATTTAGTATTTGAACGTTTGTACAAGAAGAAAATAATCTTTTAAGTGTCAGCATAACCTCTTCTTTTCTACAACATGGGATCCAAATGCCTTCTAATGAAAGTTGTAGTGACTGGCACCTGGATGTATGTTGTCTGGTTTGGGTTGAACTGAACCATGTAAGACAGCTCTAAACCAATTTTAAGTTTCTCCCTTTATCAAGCAAACCTATGGTAATTCATGAAGTATCACTGTAATCATTTTTATAACAGTGTCGGAAGCTTGATGACCCTTGCTTAGTTTGTAGTGGTAAATCCCGTGCTGCAAGTTGGATGTATGCTGCCAAATGAATGTTGACCTATGGTAGAAATGGGATGGAGCATCTGGGTTTAATTAGAGAATAAGTTTAGAGAATTGAGATTTTGGGGAAGATTGAGCTCCTTCATATGAGGCTGGGGACTTTTGAGTCCAAGCCTGAGTGGGCTAAGGAAGGAGGAGATTGAGCACCCTGCAGAGTAACACTGGTAGCTCTGCTTCCAGGGAAGTGAGCAACAGCAGCAGGACTTGGGGAACAGATGATAGAAAGCTATGCACTTAGAATTTAGGCTTTCTTTATATGCTCTGGTGGAGTTGATGGAGTCTGTCAGGCATTAAACGTCCTGACTGACTTGCATCTGCAGGTGGGAGTCTTTTTCAGGCGTGGAATGCCATTTGCCATCTGTTAGAGGCACTTACCTGTATCTATCTATGTATCAGGTAAATTATAGGCAGAGAAAAGTGCGATATTGGATTTTTACTGATAGCTTATAGTACACAGTGATAGTTTACTTTGTGAACTGGATTTTCAAAGATGGTGCAATATACCATTTATTAGGATTCCCCTGGTTTTTAGGATCATATTTTTTAGGATCTTCTTGGATGGAACAAGAACATTGCATACGCAATATGGCAGATGTTCCAAGAATCTGAGAAACCCACTGTGCCTTCAGCGCATAGTTACTTTTGGTAACTGGTCATGCTGAGTATATCCAACTCTTTTGATATTAATGGGTATACTGAGTATGTGTAGATCAACAGATCAGAATATGCAACAACTGATCTGCAAGGAAACTTTCAAAAAGCCAGCTGTGCTAATGTAGGTGTAGATTCTGGTAGTAGTTGGAATATTTAGATGATAGAAAACTTTCAGTGGTTCTTAGGACTGCCAGAACTTTTAATACTAGTAGACATTCAGAGACCATGGAGAAATCTGAGCCTCAAAATCTTCCTAGACTACATTTCTGGACAGGGAAATAAGGGTAAGTCTGGGAAAATTATAATGCTGTACTGCAAGAACAGTGAAGCCTTGGGAGATAGTGAGGGCATTACTGATGCTTTTATACTTGATTCATTTATTTTTAAAATGGTATGATTATAGATGTTACGTTTATAGCAGAATTGTAGTTCTGAAGTGTATGTTACAAGACGTTTTTAGTAAAGAAGTGCTTCCAATACATTTTATCATAGTACAGATTTGGTATACTTGCACATATAGTAATATCTCGCAGAGAACTAAGATAACTACAAAACCAAATTGTCTTGGTTTTCTACAGCAAAGTAGAACTATAATAATAGCTGAGTTACATGCGACATAGTATTAAATTTGGCAGTAGTTTATTGTCTACTTCATACTATGATTTAGGTTGTCTTTTTAAGAAATTCATTTAGGATTGATTGTCAGCTACCCTGGTAGTTCTACAGGTATTTTGATCAGACAATGTAGAATGTGAAATGTTAGCACATTTAGGTTTTCTACTCAGCTTACATAGGGGGAGATTATATAAACCTATGCTTTCTTAATTCTTCATTAGAATTCTACAGTATGTGACAATATGAGAAATCCAGCTTCATGTACTCTTTCCAACTGGTGATTGTTACTGACCCTGACTTGTCATCTGTCCCGTTCTGCCTGCTGTTTCTTTGATGACACTGCTTCCTTTTCACTGACATCTAGGTGGCAAACTTTGTTTTCCTCTATTTTTTTCCAGGTTAAAAAATAACAATCAGTTGGTAGTTAAAACTGCCAATTATAGTTATAACTACCAATTGGTTAAAGCAAAAGAAATGTATAAAAGAAAACCCTGACCTGCTGAGTTGAGTCGGTGAGGCATGCGGAGTATTACAAATAAGGACAACCTTGAAACAGGTGCCTCACTGTTAACGTTCCCTTCAGGTTTCACAGCAATGTTAGTTTCCTCTGTGGAGCAATCTGAAGTTTTCTAGTGCCACTGACACGTTTCAGCTCACCTCTAGTTTGTGTAACACAGAGCTGCAGAGAGCTGCAAAAAAGATCATCTTGTTTGAGTGGGAATTTCTGTTGAATATTTTGCTGAAGTTTGAATATAGATCTTATCTTTTAATCTGGCACACCTCTTACAAAGTGGAAGTAGCACTGTTTGCTTCAAATCTTTAACTAATATACAAAAACCCATATATACAATGACAGCATAATATTAATAGAAAAAGAGAACGTAGGTGCTGCTATCTTTCAACATTGGATAATAAACTTGCCTAAAAATGACATAATCATATTTTCCCAGGTGTGCTTTTGCTGTCTACGTAAAGATTAGTTAATTAGGCTTCATATTGTCTCCACAGAGATCTAAAATTGCAGTGTTTGATAAAATGTGGACCTATATGAAAAGTGCAGAACCATCTGTGTTTGTGAGGACTACAGCAGAAGGGGTAGCTCGAGTACGGAAGTCCAAAGGAAAATATGCCTACTTGCTGGAGTCAACCATGAATGAGTACATCGAACAAAGGAAACCCTGTGACACCATGAAAGTTGGTGGGAATTTGGATTCCAAAGGCTACGGCATCGCCACACCTAAAGGATCCTCATTAAGGTGGGTGGAATAGTATAACAATATGCTAAATGTTGTTATAGTATCCCACCTACCCTGATGTATCTTTACTGATGTCTATGGTTTGTATAAGGATATGAGGTAACTCCCAAACATTGCATTTCAAACACTATTTCAAAATGAAAGTGCCTATGCTGACAATATTGACAAATGTTTGGATACTTCCTTAAATTTCTTGCAGGTTTTCTAACCATGTAAACATTCATTTTATTATTATTATTATTTAAACATTCCAATTTTAAGGATTGTTTTCTTATTTCTTTTCCTTTTTTTTTTTTAGATTTGCTTTTCACGTTACTAGCTTATAGTGTGAGTCTATTTCCTCATACCTTGTAGAAAACGTCGCTCTGCTCATGAAACTAAAACCGAATGACTGCATTTGAACAGTAAACCGGAGTAACTAACAAAATGTGCCATTGTTTAAAAAGGGCTTTGTTTCGGGGAGAGGATAATGCACTATGAATTTCTTTGCACACATCTCTTTACTATGTAGTTAACTCTTTGTATTCCTATTTTGTTGTTTGTTTTTTTTAGTGGAGTCACATTCAAGACACTGTTATTTGTTTGTTGTGGATGTGAGTACATTGCTGTAGAATATAGAACTCCCCATATT